CTCGTTTTTCATCGGAATTTCCGCAAATGTCATCTACGCATGTAGTTGACCATGTTCATATTCTCCCACACCACACAATATCGTCAGTGTAACCATCGGGAGTTGAGTTGACTTTCCCTCAGGCGCCTTGGTTGTGACCAGATGTGTGACGAAGTAGTCTGTGCATGATGACAATAGCTGCCAGTCTGAATACGCACTACTGAGTATCGATTCAACCCTAGATACTTCCACCCACACTGTGGAGTTGTGTTATAGTAGTCGGGAGGTGAACAATGGACTCAGAACTCAATGCATGGAGCACTTGCCTTATGACAACCTCTGGCTCGACTTCGTAGCGGCCGCAGTCGAGTTTCCGGACAACATCGCCCTACGATGTAACACTACTGTCTTCACTTATCAGCAACTTCGCCGCGTGGTCGAGGTCCGGGCGGCCGTATTGTCACGCCAGTACGGTTTGGTGTCGGGCTCGAGAGTGCTCCTACTCCTACAACGAGGAGTGTCTTTCGTCGTCACTGCCCTAGCGCTGTGGAACCTCGACTGCACTATGATCCCCCTCGATGCTGACCTCACCCCAGATAGTAGAGCGCAACAAGTGGCTGAGGAGGGTGACTGTGACCTTTTGATAGTCACCACTGGTCGGGGTACCATTGACTTGTCATCGGTCAACGGCAGAGTCGTTGGGATCGACGAGCTCGATCGGTTGGAAGATTCTGAGGCTATTGAAAAGGAGTGTGATGAGAGGTCAGCACCAGCGTACATAATGTTCACGAGTGGCTCCTCTGGTCGGCCTAAGGGTGTAGTGGTGTCCCACACTAGTGTCGTCAATGTGCTAGAGCACTTCGCTGCTGAGCTTGGACCAGACTGGCATCGGCTGCTGGCGGTGACCACCTTCCAGTTCGACATCTCCGTATTGGAGTATATGCTGCCACTCACGACGGGCAGGCAGTGCATCATCGCAAACACCGAGACGTGTAGGAGTGCACCTAAAATACTCGACATGCTCATTGAGGACTCCATCGACTTGATGCACGCTACCCCTACGATGTGGCAACTGTTGGTAGCTGCTGGGCTGTTGAAGAGGGTCATGGGGCTCACAGTGGACTGCAGATCCTCTGTGGGGGCGAGCCCTTCCCAGCCCATCTAAGTGCCTCTGTGACGTTGCCTCGAAGGTCCTCAACTGCTAC